TTTCATTTGGCACCCCTTGCTCCTGAACTACTTTGTCCCAAACCTTTTTCCACTTCTCCCAATTCTTTTGGGCTTATCAGTCTTCCAAACGGGCTACACTCCTTGGGCCTTTTTGCGTCAGTGTACGTGTCTTAAGATTCCTTACAAGGGTATCGGGAACAGTTCTCGGGTTGCCAGGCCCCATTTGCTGCATCTTATCTGGTTGGTTCTCCCCGAGACATTCTCGTATACTCACCCAAATTTTTCCCCCTTTGCAGGATTTGCAGTCTTTGGCCCACCCAAAGCCTATACCCGTCTCGGCTTCTTTGCCCCCTCGCGGTCTCCAGGGAAAACTTTGCATTTGGCAGGGTTATTCTAGGAACCCATTTGCTGGCCAGGCACCCCATCGTCCTGTCTCTTTTGCCTGTCTCATCTCGCATTTTGTTTAACCTCCTCTAAACTTAAACATCGTCTCCAGGGCACTTCCTGAGTCTAAAACTCCGTTGTAAAATTCACTTCCAAAGAATGCACTGGTCCTTTACTGCCTTGTGGGGTTTCCCCCAGGTGTCCAGGGTATATCTACGCTGCCTTGACTCCGTGTTTGCCTCCCGTCAGGTATCTCTGATCCATTGCATTCCCTTCCCCTTTATACTGCTGAACCCAGTTTCTGTACTAACCCTCTTGTTACACGTTTTCAAAGGGCCTTGAACCAAGAAATGCTCAACCCTCCCTTTCTCACCTTTCTTCTTTTTACTTTGTCTAAACCCTAGTTTGTGACACAGGAAAATTTGCCTTCCATGATTCCGTGCTGTTGTCGTTTATAACCTTGTTCCTTCCGGTGTGTGTGTTATTCACCTTTATTTTGGTTCTGGTCTTCAAGCCTCCTGGCTCCGCCCTTCACTGGCGTCTATTTTCACCTCCCTCCTGATTTACTACCTTTTGCTTAAGCTATTTAATGGACCGCCTCCAAGATCGCTTCCCATTTAACCACTCTTACTACTCTTTGACTAAGAAATCTCCTAAACATCCCTGTGATTCATCTGTTGGTCCTTCAATTCCCGCTGGTTTTGTTGCTGTGTCCCATCTCTGAACATTTTGGGTCTCTGTCCCCTTGTCATTCTTCAGTATTTTAAATTTCGTTATCTTTTCCCCCTTTCCTGTGCCATGTCCGTCGGGTTTGATTTTCCCCCCTTTCCTTTTCCCTCAAGCATACCCCTTTACCTCTGGGATTTAGTCTTTTTGAAACTTAGCACCTTTCTCTAAGTTTTCTTTACGTTTTCTAGAAGTGGGAAACTTGGTGGAAAACCCCAAATTTGGCCTAAGACAATGTGTGCAAACCTGATCATCCTTTACCTAAGATGTCGGAATCTGCCTGAGTTTAAAAGGCCCCATATGCCAGATTTATTTTATGTTCGCTTCAGGAAGATGTGCCGTTTGTTTAAGTTTAAATTTGCTTTGGTTATTGTGTGTGTGGTGTGTTTGTGTGGGTGTTTTGTGGTGTGGTTTGTTTGTGTTTTTGTGTGGAGGTTATGTGAGCTTTTCTTCCTGTCCTGTCTTTGGGGCTGTCCTGCCTCTTCTGTTTTGTTTGATTGATGTACGACAACCCCTTATGACAATATTCCACAACCTAAAAATTCTCTACAGTAATGAACTTGAGAACACCATTTAGACAGTAAAGCACCACAAGACATACAAAACCATAAGCTAACAAACCAAAACCAAGACAGTCAACCCACTAAGACGTCAACACCTCAAGGTTCAATAATGTGTTTTGAGAATTGGCATTCCAGTTTTTGTTTTAAGGTTTGTATTTTAAACTTTTTAGAAAGACTACTCATCGCCTGCACAGCCGCCCCGCAGAGAGGCTGACAACTGTTCAGCCATCTTCACCGGGCGAAAAGTTAATTTGTAAGATAATAAAATTACCCCTATTTAGTACATTTTCATCACGAGGGAACAAACTTACTTGGGGGACCAAAAGCCGCCCCTTACGGGTTACTTATAAGGTATTACAAACTCCGGACTCGGAAGCGCAGTCCCCCGTAATACAAGAAATTCGTAACCACCCTCTTGTAAGCCGTGAGAGGTGTTTTCACACCTTCCCCCGACAATAGGGTTTGATAGAAGCGAAGTGTCCTTGATTCCCTCCAGTATGGAATACCACACTGGTACACATGTTCCAAACAAGATTGTCTTGTTGTTCACAATTTTATCACAAAGAAGCGGTCCCTTCTCAAGGGTGTTAATTGTTTTCTTATATGGTATTTTCACACTCGACAGATGGGTCTTTGTGGATCCTGGGAGGGGTCACTCTCATAGAGGAATAGCCACGGCCCACGGTTTTTCCCAGCAAAAAAAGTCTGTACTTTGCCCGTGCCACTTCTCGTAAAGAAGCGTGTTTTTTTGTGTTAGTGAAAGACATTTTTGGTAAAAGAGGGAGCGGTTTTTTTATTGTCGCAAAGAAGAAGACGTCCTAAAGTAGAAGCAAGGAGGTCGTGAAGCGCCACGCGCACTGCCGTTGCAGAACAAGAATTGCCTTCGGGGGCTGACCCCTCAGGGAAAGGGGCTGGGGGTGAAACTGATCCCCCCCGGGAAAAACCCACAAAGAAGTACAAACACCAAAAGACAGTACAAACACCACTAAAAACATACAAACAACCACTAGGCAGTACAAACACAACCAAGACAGTACAACCCACTGACGTACAAACACCACCAAGACGTACAAACACCACTAAGCAGTACAAACACCACTAAGACAGTAAAAAACACAACCAAGACAGTACAAACACCACTAAGACAGTACAAACACCACTAAGACAGTACAAACACAACCGAGACAGTACAAACACCACTAAGACAGTACAAACACCACTAAGACAGTACAAACACCACTAAGACAGTACAAACACCACTAAGACAGTACAAACACCACTAAGACAGTACAAACACCACTAAGACAGTACAAACACCACTAAGACAGTACAAACACCACTAAGACAGTACAAACACCACTAAGACAGTACAAACACCACTAAGACAGTACAAACACCACTAAGACAGTACAAAACAACCACTAAGACAGAAACAAACACCCTAAGGCAGTATAAACCCCACCTAGACAGTACAAACACCACTAAGACAGTACAAACCCACTAAGACAGTACAAACACCACTAAGACAGTACAAACACCACTAAAACATACAACACCACAAAAACGTACAAACACCACTAAGACAGTACAAACACCACTAAGACAGTACAAACACCACTAAGACAGTACAACAAAACCCCAAGACAGTACAAACACCACCAAACAGTACAAAAAACACTAAGACAGTAACAAACACCACTAAGACATACAAACACCACTAAGCAGTACAAACACCACTAAGACGTACAAAACACCACTAAGACATACAAACACCACTAAATGTAAACACATTTAGACAGACAAACACAACCAAGACAGTACAAACCCCACAAAGACAGTACAAACACCACTATGACAGTACAACACAAAAAGAAGTACAAACACCACAAGACAGTACAAACACCACTAAGACAGTACAAACACCACTAAGACAGTACAAACACCACTAAGACAGTACAAACACCACTAAGACAGTACAAACACCACAAGACAGTACAAACACCACTAAGACAGTACAAACACCACTAAGACAGTACAAACAGGATGTGGTCTTGACAGGATGTAGTTATGACAGGATGTGGTCATGACAGGATGTGGTCTTGACAGGATGTGGTTATGACAGGATTTGGTCATGACATGATGTGGTCATGACAGGATGTGGTCATGACAGGATGTGGTCATGACAGGATGTGGTCATGACAGGATGTGGTCTTGACATGATGTGGTCATGACAGGATGTGGTCATGACAGGATGTGGTCATGACAGGATGTGGTCATGACAGCATGTGGTCTTGACAGTATGTGGTCCTGACAGCATGTGATCTTGACAGGATGTGGTCATGACAGGATGTGGTCATGACAGCATTTGGTCTTGACAGCATGTGGTCCTGGAAGCATGTGCTCTTGACAGGATGTGGTCATAACAGCATGTTGTCATGACAGCATGTGGTCTTGACAGCATGTGGTCCTGACAGAATGTGGTCTTGACAGGATGTGGTCATGATAGCATATGGTCATGACAGCATGTGGTTTGACAGGATGTGGTCTTGACAGCATATGGTCTTGACAGGATGTGGTCATGACAGGATGTGGTCCTGACAGCATATCGTCTTGATAGCATGTGGTCATGACAGCATGTGGTCTTGACAGCATGTGGTCTTCATAGCATGTGTTCTTGACAGCATGTGGTTTTGACAGCATGTGGTCATGACAGCATGTGATATTGACAGCATGTGGTGTTGACAGCATGTGGTCATGACAGCATTTGGTCATGACATGTGGTGTTGACAGCATGTGGTGTTGACAGCATGTGGTCTTGACAGGATGTGGTCATGACAGCATATGGTCATGACAGCATGTGGTCTTGACAAGATGTGGTCCTGACAGCATGTGGTCTTGACAGGATGTGGTCATGACAGGATGTGGTCATGATAGCATTTTATCTTGACAGCATGTAGTCCTGACAGCATGTGGCCTTGTCAGGATTTGGTCATGACAAGATGTGGTCATGACAGCACGTGGTCTTGACAGCATGTGGTCCTGGCAGTATGTGGTCTTGACAGGATGTGGTCATGATAGCATATGGTCATGACAGTATGTGGTCTTGACAGGATGTGGTCTTGACCGCATATGATCTTGACAGGATGTGGTCATGACAGCATGTGGTCCTGACAGCATATCGTCTTGATAGCATGTGGTCATGACAGTATGTGGTCATGACAGCATGTGGTCTTGACAACATATGGTCTTGACAGCATATGGTCTTGACAGCATGTGGTCTTGACAGCATGTGGTCATGACAGCATGTAGCTTTGACAGCATGTGGTCTTGACAGCATGTAGCTTTGACAGCATGTGGTCTTGACAGCATGTGGTCTGCTCCAATAAGTCACAGTTGACGGAGGAGAGAGGTCAACACCTGCTGTTCTTCAAGGAGAGGATCAAAGACTACAACCTGACCATCGAAGCTGTTAACTGCACCTACCAGACCATCGGTACTATATACAGAAAGCCTACGTAAGTTATGACAGAATATAATTACTGTGTTAACAATGAAACATGACTGCACACACAATACACACGCACACAGGCGGGACCAGGAGCTGTGTATCGACCCCCTGCAACCACAAATAGGTGAGTACACACACAACAAATACCCACAGAACACACATACACACAAACGCATAAACACACATAAACGCGAGGCAGGAGCGTAAACGACCCTGCAACCACAATAGGGGAAGTACAAAACACATATACAGCAAATCCTGGGTAAACACTGTACTGGATAAAAAAAGGATATTATTTAAAGACGAGGGAATATTTTAATAAACCTTTCAGCTCAAGAGAGTATATAATTGTAAATTGTAAGATATGAAGGTTAAGAAGGGACTAAGTTCCTCTGTCTTCCAATAACAAGTTCAATTTCCACTATAATCAACCTGTACATAATTTATCACATTTGTTTGTTTCGTAAGGTGAAGTCCAGATCTTTCCTTAATTCATGGGATAACTTTAACAAAACTTTGAAGACAAATTTTGTTTTGGGGGTCTCAAAACCTCTTTTTTGGAGGTCTCAGACCCTCTGTTGTGGAGTCTCAGACTCTAACAACACAATTGACTCCTTAACGAATTTTCTGCGAAGAAAACAAGAAACAAATGCGAATTAATTATGGAAAAGGTAAATAATGGGGTCAAATGAACACGTATAAAGAGGAGGGAAACTGAGGCGCCGTTAACTTGCAACTGGCAAGGCTGTTTCCATAGTGGCGGAGAAGACGCTGAAACTGATGAAAAGGGATAAAGGTTACCTGTTTTAACAAGACCCTCCTAACAAACTGGGTTTTCACCAATCGCCATTATTTGGTGCAGCCCAACGGCGAGCAGAAGAGAGAAATGTTTCCCGGTATTGTACCACACGTAAACCACATGATGCACACACACACACCACACACACACACACAACACACACAACACACACAAAACACCACAGCAGGCTATTTCTAATCGACATGGCCTAGGACAAAATGGTAACTAACACATGTATGCACACACATGTATGCACCGGGGCCAGGAGCTCGGACTCGACCCCCGCAACCTCAACTAGGTGAGTACACTGCATCCACGTTTAGGTGAGTACACACACAAACGCCTGCACATTTTTTCTGAGGTAGGCCTAGGCATCTTTTTTAGGCTTATTCATCTTTTTTTTTTACTTTGCAGCTAGGCCAATTCATTTTTTTCATACATAGGCATACAGATCGCTTTGCTTCTCAGGTAGGCCTATTATTTTTTCTTCTCAGGTTGGTGTAATTATCTGCTTGCTTCTCAGGTATGCCTAATGGCCTTTTTCTGGTTCTGCCATAGGCCTACTCATCTTTTTGCTTCTCTTGAAGTACTACTCATAGGTAGGAATATAAACCTATCTTACTTTCCTAGTAGAACAATTCATATTTGTATTTATCAGGTAGGCCTACTCATCTCTTTGCTTCTCAGATAGGCTTGCTCACCTTTTCATTCTTGCAGAAAAAATTTGGAAGCCGAAGTAATCATCCCGAGAAGCTGAGCGTGTTGTTGATGGGCACTGATGCAGTGTCCCGCTACAACGCCATCCGTCACATGCCTAAAACTTACCAATATGCTGTGGAGAAGCTCGGAGCTCTGGACTTCCGTGGTTACATTAAAATAGGAGAAAATACCTTACCAAACATGTATGAAATAATGTTTGGATTCACCATTCAGGAAATTGGAAAACATGAGTGCGTTCAGAAGACGAGATATCAGGACAGTTGTCCGATAATATGGAAAGACTTTGACCAGGAAGGCTATCTGACAGCCTACGGCGAGGATGTTTACCCAAGAGGTATTTTTGACTACGGCTACAATGGTTTTACAGATCATCCTGTTGACTTGTCGCCTCTTAATGCTTATATGATAGCCGGACGGACTGCTCATTATCTTCAAGGTTATCCATCAATTTACAGTAATTGCGAGGGACCCAGGATGAGGATAGGGGTGTTTCACAACTATTCACTTGCAGTAGCAGAGGAATTCAAGGACGTCCCGTATTTTGGATTTTATATGTCTGGAACACTAACGCATGATGGATACGTAATGCCACGCATCGTTGACGATAAATTAATAAGACTGATGACGGAATTCCATGAGAATGGTTATCTCAACCATACAGTTGTCTTCCTCTTCAGTGACCATGGACTGCGTTATGGCCCCTACCGTCACACATATATTGGCAGAATCGAGGAAAGATTACCACTTTTTCTGGCTGTGTTCCCTCCCTGGTTCAAGAAGGTCTACCCGCTGCCCTGGAAGAACCTGGTAACCAACACCAGAAGACTCATCTCTAACTTAGATTTTCACGAGACACTACACAGTCTGGCGCATGGAGACTTCGCCACCAACACAATACGGTAAATATATAACAAAACACCCTTCAGATTACGGAAGGGAAGGGAGCTTGAACCCTTACCATAGGTTCAAGTCCTAACCGTTCCTTGAATTGTTTCCAATCGTATTACTACGATGTAACTAGTCGAGACACCCTTCACTCCCTTCCACTGGAGCGGATAGTGCCTTGATACTTGTGAAGTGCTCTTGGTCCAAGGAATTGAAATCATTCTTTTTTTCCTTGGATTTGTCCTAAATACCTCCTGTACCCCCCCAGACATTGTTAAGAATATAGCAGCAACAGTCTTCACAGTCTAGCATACGAGGATTTCACAGACAGGTACAAATTCAAATTCAAATTCAAATTCAAAGTTTATTCTCTATAAGGATTACAATGCTTAGTTTACAGAATTTGGTTATTGTGTGGTTTACATGTAGTAAAATAATAATTACAGAGTGTACCACTAGAACACCTAGCATGGCTAGGCATACAACATTTCCGTCTCCTGACAGATTTTTTATGGCCTATTTTTTTTTTTAAATATATTCATAAATTTTCTTCCTTTTTCTCCCAGTCTATGCCCCGGTTCACAGTGTACACCCCGGTTCACAGTCTACGCCTCTGTTCACAGTCTACGCCCCTGTTCACAGTCTACGTCCCGGTTCACGATCATCGCTAAATATTTTATTCTAGCTTATCTCTGAATTGCTCAATGACATTATAAAGTCTTCAGGCAGAAAAATCCAAGTGAGATGTACGTAGTGAAACTTTTGTAAAAACCATCCATATATTTATACATAACCCGCACGTAGGAGAGGCTTATGACGACGTTTCAGCTCGACTTGGACCATTTACAAATCACATTGTAACTCGTAAATGGTACAAGTCTGACCGAAACATCGTCATAAGATCCTCTGTCCTATATATTGTTCCAATCACGGTATTGTGAGTGCCTGTTCTCCTACCACACATTTCTCAAGTTTAACGTTGTTAATTTACTCAACCTTATGTGATAAACCAGTGAGCGTTATTCAGCTGCAGGAGAGATGAGAAGCTGGATATTTCTCATACTAGTTAAGCTTCCCTTCCTAAGAGACAGAATCACAATAAGTCACGTTGCTTGAGGTGAATACCTTCATGTAATCAGATTCTTATTTTGTTATTTCTACATAACAAGTTTGGCAAAATGTCAAGCACAACTCACAAGAACACAACAACAGTTGTGACTTAATGATGATCCAGAAACAACTGAAATATCCTCTATAGTTACTTTTTGGAATGTGACAATTATTTTAAATTCTTCCAGCCAGGGTAATGTGATATTTATTTTTATGTGAAGCAAAACTATGTAGTGTGTGTATAATGTAGAGTGTGTGTATAATGTATAGTGTGTATAATGTAGTGTGTGTATAATGTAGAGTGTGTGTATAATGTAGAGTGTGTGTATAATGTAGAGTGTGTGTATAATGTAGAGTGTGTGATAATGTAAGTGTGTGTATAAAGTAGTGTGTGTATAATGTAGAGTGTGTGTATAATGTAGAGCGTGTATATAATTAGAGGTTTGTTGGTGTATAATGATAGAGTGTGTGTATAATGTAGAGTGTGTGTATAATGTAGAGTGTGTGTATAAATGTAAGGTGGGGTGTATAATGTAGAGTTGTGTATAATGTAAGAGTGTATATAATGTAGAGTGTGTGTATAATGTAGAGTGTGTTTATAATGTAGAGCGTGTATATAATGTAGAGTGTGTGTATAATGTAGAGTGTGTGTATAATGTAGAGTGTGTGTATAATGTATAGAGTGTGTGCATAATGTAGTGTTATCATGTGGGTTTTCGATACGTGGATGGGGTAAGAATACTCACGTAGGCTGGTAGTATGTATAATATAACGGAAGGTATGGGGAAGCACCAACAGCCGACCTGCCTCTCTCTGCTCCCTATCTAGACTGACTCACAAGTGTCTACAGTGCGAGGGGGTGTTTGAAATCCTGCTATGGTCAGCAGCAATATGAATACAGTCAGTGATTCACGCAGAGACAGTTGGTAGTGAGTCATCGAGGTGAATTCTGTAATGAGATTCTTGAAAATTTGTGCACCTTGTACAAGATCTCTAAATCCACCATTGTTCCTCATCATCCTGCCAGCAATGATTAGCGAAACGTTTCCAATAAGAAATATTGATGTTTGAGACCATATCAATCCCAACAGTGAAACTTGGGATGAAGTTATACCTGATGTGCAGTGTGCTATATATTCTGCTTACAATGTTTCTATAGGTGACACTCCACATTATGCATTGTATGGTGTAGATAAACGTTTGCCTTATGAGTTGCTATATTCTAATCCGAAACCAAATTACAACCCGATGAAATTTATAGCAACTCGTACCAGCTTAAACTCAAAGTGTTTTTAGAAGAATCCGTGAAACACTTTATAAATCAACAGCAGAATTTACAAGAGTCGCAAACACTCGAGAAAAACCCTCCAAAATCAAAGTAGGTTCGAGAGTTATGCTGACTAACTTTAACAAAACGTCTGCAATGCCTAAGCTTGATCAAAAGTTTGTTGGTCCTTATCGAGTAGTTGAACATATCACTGGTAATAAGTATAAGGTTAGAGAGAATTAGTACTGGTCAGTATAAAGAATCGCATTTAGATCATATGAAGTTAGTATGTGATGATAATGATGTTCCAACCCAGACTAATGTGACAGACTCTGACAATCCTCCTGATCCTGTACTCTCTACCTCTGATACTCAGTCAGACGATCAACCTGAATGTCGTTATTCCTACGTACACGACAGGTATTGAGAAATCCTCAAGTATCATTTGTTACTTCCAATTCAGATTTGCCTCAAACACAGCATGAGTTAGCCAGTGCAACAGAGTTTGATCCTCCCAGAGATGACACCCATTCTGCATATGTCAATCTCACCCTAGCAGAGTTGGGGTTTAAATGTAAATAACCTGTATAGATGAATAATTAAGTATCAACTTATCAGTATTCAAGAATTTTTTTGTGTGTTCACGTTCTCTCCGAATTCTGAGAGTTAACAGTCTAGATTTGAGTGCACCGAATCTGCCTTTCTGTTAAACACTTCTTTCTTTGTATATATTCCTCCTCAGAATCGTAGATCACATGAATACAGATCGATCGATCAAATTTTTTTTTTATCACTTCTATTGTGTAATCCCAATGTTGAGTTTCATTCGATGAGTTGTGCTATATTATACCTTGTATTGCATTACAGTTTTATTACAGTTTCAATTATGTAAGCTTCCATTCCAATATTCTACTTATGTATGTTATAATGTTCAATTGTTGTGTACTTTGACATTGTATAGAATCAGCCCAAGCCGTACACCTACCGTCTCTAAGTTTGTATTAGTTGTATGTCGGGACGACATACGTTAGCGTCGCCGAGCTCTCAGTAGTAGTACCAGTTCCTAGTAACCAGTTACCAGTAACCAGTGTACCAGTAGATGACTCACTACCAACCGTCTCTGCGTGAATCACTGACTGTATTCATATTGCTGCTGACCATAGCAGGATTTCAAATCACCCTCACCCGTAGGCACTATGAGTCACTCGTAGTTAGCCAGCAGAGAGAGGCAGGTCGGCTGTTGGTGCTTCCCCATACCTTCCGTTATATTATACGTACTACCAGCCTACGTGAGTATTCTTACCCCTTCCACGTTTCGAAAACCCACATGACAGTGTGTGTATAATGTAGAGAGTGTGTGTATAATGTAGAGAGTGTGTGTATAATGTAGAGAGTGTATGTATAATGTAGAGAGTGTGTGTATAATGTAGAGTGTGTGTATAATGTAGAGAGTGTGTGTATAATGTAGAGAGTGTGTGTATAATGTAGAGTGTGTATAATGTAGAGTGTGTGTATAATGTAGAGAGTGTGTGTATAATGTAGAGTGTGTGTATAATGTAGAGTGTGTGTATAATGTAGAGTGTGTATAATGTAGAGAGTGTGTGTATAATGTAGAGTGTGTATAATGTAGAGAGTGTGTGTATAATGTAGAGAGTGTGTGTATAATGTAGAGTGTGTATATAATGTAGAGAGTGTGTGTATAATGTAGAGTGTGTATAATGTAGAGAGTGTGTGTATAATGTAGAGTGTGTGTATAATGTAGAGTGTGAGTATAATGTAGAGAGTGTGTGTATAATGTAGAGAGTGTGTGTATAATGTAGAGAGTGTGTGTATAATGTAGAGAGTGTGTGTATAATGTAGAGAGTGTGTGTATAATGTAGAGAGTGTGTGTATAATGTAGAGAGTGTGTGTATAATGTAGAGGGTGTGTGTGTATAATGTAGAGAGTGTGTGTATAATGTAGAGTGTGTGTATAATGTAGATAGTGTGAGTATAATGTAGAGAGTGTGTGTATAATGTAGAGTGTGTGTATAATGTATAGTGTGTATAATGTAGAGTGTGTGTGTATAATGTATAGAGTGTGTGTATAATGTAGAGAGTGTGTGTATAATGTAGAGAGTGTGAGTATAATGTAGAGAGTGTGTGTATAATGTAGAGAGTGTGAGTATAATGTAGAGAGTGTGAGTATAATGTAGAGAGTGTGAGTATAATGTAGAGAGTGTGAGTATAATGTAGAGAGTGTGTGTATAATGTAGAGAGTGTGTGTATAATGTAGAGAGTGTGAGTATAATGTAGAGAGTGTGAGTATAATGTAGAGGGTGTGTGTATAATGTAGAGAGTGTGTGTATAATGTGGAGAGTGTGTGTATAATGTAGAGAGTGTGTGTATAATGTAGAGAGTGTGTGTATAATGTAGAGAGTGTGAGTATAATGTAGAGAGTGTGAGTATAATGTAGAGAGTGTGAGTATAATGTAGAGAGTGTGAGTATAATGTAGAGGTGTGTGTATAATGTAGAGAGTGTGAGTATAATGTAGAGAGTGTGAGTATAATGTAGAGAGTGTGTGTATAATGTAGAGAGTGTGAGTATAATGTAGAGAGTGTGAGTATAATGTAGAGAGTGTGTGTATAATGTAGAGAGTGTGAGTATAATGTAGAGAGTGTGAGTATAATGTAGAGAGTGTGAGTATAATGTAACTTAGTGTAGACATCTGGTGAATGTTAAACAGCACATACGCTATATTTTCTTAGTAATAATGGTAGAATTACTTACAGAATGTTAGATAAAAGGACACAGATGTTACTAATGTGACATATTATTGTAGTAACGTTTCGCTCTCCAGGAGAAACGTTGCCACAAAATATCACATTAGTTGCATCTATGTCATTTTAGCTACATTATTTTAACAAAGAAGAGAGCACAGTTACATAAGATGAAAGACATAGTTACGTCTTAAGACACAAGATATAGTTACGTCTTAAGACACAAGATATAGTTACGTCTTAAGACACAAGATATAGTTACGTCTTAAGACACAAGATATAGTTACGTCTTAAGACACAAATATATTTACGTCTTAAGACACAAGATATAGTTACGTCTTAAGACACAAGATATAGTTACGTCTTAAGACACAAGATATAGTTACGTCTTAAGACACAAGATATAGTTACGTTCTTAGACAACAAGATATAGTTACGTCTTAAGACACAAGATATAGTTACGTCTTAAGACACAAGATATAGTTACGTCTTAAGACACAAGATATAGTTACGTCTTAAGACACAAGATATAGTTACGTCTTAAGACACAAGATATAGTTACGTCTTAAGACACAAGATATAGTTACGTCTTAAGACACAAGATATAGTTACGTCTTAAGACACAAGATATAGTTACGTCTTATAGACATAAGATATAGTTACGTCTTAAGACACAAGATATAGTTACGTCTTAAGACACAAGATATAGTTACGTCTTAAGACACAAGATATAGTTACATCTTAAGACACAAGATATAGTTACGTCTTAAGACATAAGATATAGTTACGTCTTAAGACACAAGATATAGTTACGTCTTAAGACACAAGATATAGTTACGTCTTAAGACATAAGATATAGTTACGTCTTAAGACACAAGATATAGTTACGTCTTAAGACACAAGATATAGTTACGTCTTAAGACACAGATATAGTTACGTCTTAAGACACAAGATATAGTTACGTCTTAAGACACAGATATAGTTACGTCTTAAGACACAAGATATAGTTACGTCTTAAGACACAAGATATAGTTACGTCTTAAGACACAAGATATAGTTACGTCTTAAGACACAAGATATAGTTACGTCTTAAGACACAAGATATAGTTACGTCTTAAGACACAAGATATAGTTACGTCTTAAGACACAAGATATAGTTACGTCTTAAGACACAAGATATAGTTACGTCTTAAGACACAAGATATAGTTACGTCTTAAGACACAAGATATAGTTACGTCTTAGACACAAGATATAGTTACGTCTTAAGACACAAGATATAGTTACGTCTTAAGACATAAGATATAGTTACGTCTTAAGACATAGATATAGTTACGTCTTAAGACACAAGATATAGTTACGTCTTAAGACACAAGATATAGTTACGTCTTAAGACATAAGATATAGTTACGTCTTAAGACACAAGATATAGTTACGTCTTAAGACATAAGATATAGTTACGTCTTAAGACATAAGATATATTACGTCTTAAGACACAAGATATAGTTACGTCTTAAGACACAAGATATAGTTACGTCTTAAGACACAAGATATAGTTACGTCTTAAGACACAAGATATAGTTACGTCTTAAGACACAAGATATAGTTACGTCTTAAGACATAAGATATATAGTTACGTCTTAAGACACAAGATATAGTTACGTCTTAAGACATAAGATATAGTTACGTCTTAAGACATAAGATATAGTTACGTCTTAAGACACAAGATATAGTTACGTCTTAAGACACAAGATATAGTTACGTCTTAAGACACAAATATAGTTACGTCTTAAGACACAAGATATAGTTACGTCTTAAGACACAAGATATAGTTACGTCTTAAGACATAAGATATAGTTACGTCTTAAGACACAAGATATAGTTACGTCTTAAGACATAAGATATAGTTACGTCTTAAGACACAAGATATAGTTACGTCTTAAGACACAAGATATAGTTACGTCTTAAGACACAAGATATAGTTACGTCTTAAGACACAAGATATAGTTACGTCTTAAGACACAAGATATAGTTACGTCTTAAGACATAAGTATAGTTACGTCTTAAGACACAAGATATAGTTACGTCTTAAGACACAAGATATAGTTACGTCTTAAGACACAAGATATAGTTACGTCTTAAGACATAAGATATAGTTACGTCTTAAGACAACAAGATATAGTTACGTCTTAAGACACAAGATATAGTTACGTCTTAAGACACAAGATATAGTTACGTCTTAAGACATAAGATATAGTTACGTCTTAAGACACAAGATATAGTTACGTCTTAAAACATAAGATATAGTTACGTCTTAAGACACAAGATATAGTTACGTCTTAAGACACAAGATATACTTACGTCTTAATACGCACTCGTCTTCCCTACAGAGCCAAGGTCCCTGGAAGAGGTCAGAGCTTGTTTGAGGAGGTCCCTGACACCCGGATCTGCTCCGATGTGAATGTTAATGAATTTTTCTGCGCCTGCGAGATATCTGTTGGAGTAAGTATAGTGGATCCTGCAGTCATTGCAGCAGCAGAAGCAGCTACTCAAGATATTAATATACTTCTTCAGCCGTTCTCAGACTGTGTAACCTTGAGAATGGATAAGGTTAGTGGGGAATGTACCCAGTCATTATTTCATTGTTGATTATAAATGATAATAATAATAATAATAACAATAATAACCTATTTCTGTAAGTACATATACAAGGTATACAGACCATAGCTGACAGATAAGATAAGATTTCGTTCGGATTTTTAACCCTGGAGGGTTAGCCGCCCAGGATAACCCAAAGAAGTCAGTGCGTCATCGACGACTGTCTTATTTCCATTGGGGTCCTCAATCTTGTCCCCCAGGATGCCACCCACACCAGTCGACTAACCCCCAGGTACCTATTTTACCTAATGTTCTCATCCATAACAAAATTATTACAAATCTGCTTCCCTGACCTCTCCAGTCAAACAGAAAAATATTGTGCTTGTCTTCGTCTCGTGTGTCTAGACTAGGATGCTGAGTTGAATACAGAAGATCTCACTTTAGTTCATAATCTCGGGGATTAACGTGAAAAATTTCGAACAAAAAAATCCGGATTGCATCATCATATCAAGTCAATGAGATTAAAAAAAAATCCATGATTTTAAATATAAAAATACAAAATATGTATATGGCTCTTCCATTAACTAGTTTGTATTATATACTTAAGTTATACTTAATTAAGGTATACTTAATCAAGGTATACTTAATCAAGGTATACTTAATCAAGGTATACTTAATCAAGGTATACTTAATCAAGGTATATTTAATTAAGGTATACTTAATCAAGGTATACTTAATCAAGGTATACTTAATCAAGGTATACTTAATCAAGGTATACTTAATCAAGGTATACTTAATTAAGTTTCTTATGCCTGTATTAAAACAAAATTCTTTCCCAGAGAGATTCTTTGTAATTCTTACTTATGGAGACAATAATATTTAATTATTTTCTAAGGACATTATTATTACTGTTGTCAAAGTTAATATTTGGGTCTTCCACTTGTCGGAAACATGAGTTCTAGTATCAGAAAATTATCCTCGTATTGTGTAACCCCAGATCTCTGCGTCTTGATGCGCGTTGTTGGAATAGTGCAGAGTGTGGCCAAAAAATTATAATCTAGTCCAATATTAGAATTGAAGATTTAAACAGAATCAGAAAAAGATACGCAAATTATCATACAGGAACTATTATTCAAGTTTTTTTACCGGTTTAAATTCCTCAGCGAACACTGACATATTAATTTATCAGGTCACCATGTGTGACTCACACCTCACTCTTCCCCTATATATATTATCTTTCTAACCTCTGTATGTTAGAAATGATCATGGTCCCAGGACCGATACGTTTAGTGTCCAGTAGCTTGATCGGTAGCACACTTACCTTACATACTGAGGTCTGGGGATCGAATTCCCGCTTTGGCTGGATAACATTAGGACGTGTTTCCTTAAGACACCTGCTGTCCCTGTTCACCCATCAGTAAAATAGGTACCTGGATGCTAGTCGACTGGTGTGGGTCGCATCCTGGGACAAAACTGACCTAATCTGCGGGAAATGCTCTGCTTAACAAGGGGCTTTCTGTATAGTAGTATGTCACTGATGTCAGCTATGGTCTGTATACCTTGTACATGTACCCTTGCTAGAATAAGATAAGAGTTTGCTCGGATTTTTTACCCCAGAGGGTAAGTCACCCAGGATAACCCAAGATAGTTGATGCTTCATAGAGGATTATCTGTCGTGTTTTCATTGTAGTCCTTCAATCTTGTACCTCAGGATCCCACCCACACCAGTCACCTAGCACCCAGGTACCTACTTGCATGCTACGTGAACAGTGACAGCAAGTGTAAGAATATAACACCTAGGTACCTACTTGTTGCTAGGTGAATTGTGACAGCATGTGTTAGGTGACTAACGCCCAGGTACCAACTTGTTGCTAGGTAAACAGGGACAGCAAGTGTAGAGAAGCCAAGCCTAGTGTTTCCACCGGTGCGCCAAAACAAAAAATTAGTCTGTACTAATAAAACAACACACAATCGAATTTCGTATTGCTCAAATTGTGTTATAAATATGTTCTTTCATCCCCCCAATATATATATACATGTATATATATGTATATATATATATATATATATATATATATATATATATATATATATATATATATTATATATATATATTATATATATTATATATATATATATATATATGAGTTATGGTAATGTTTTTTTTTATTTTTTTATAAGCGATTGACGTTATTTGTGTGTTGTTCTATACGTAACTCCTAGTTGTATTAACTCCTAGTTAGGGTAACTCCTAGTTGTATTAACTCCTAGTTAGGGTAACTCCTAGTTGTATTAACTCCTAGTTAGGGTAACTCCTAGTTATATTAACTCCTAGTTAGGGTAACTCCTAGTTATATTAACTCCTAGTTAGGGTAACTCCTAGTTACATTAACTCCTAGTTAGGGAAACTCCTAGTTATATTAACTCCTAGTTAGGGTAACTCCTAGTTATAGTAACTCCTAGTTAAGTAAAAGGACACAAGTGCAACTAATGTGACATTTTTATTGTGGCAACGTTTCGCTCTCCAGGAACTTTATCAAGCTTTGTCAAGTTCCTGGAGAGCGAAACGTTGCCACAATAAAAATATCACATTAGTTGCACTTGTGTCCTTTTACTTTACATATTGTCGGTAATTCTACCAACATTATTACGACTTCTAGTTATGGTAACTCCTAGTTATAGTAACTCATAGTTATGGTAACTCCTAGCTATGGTAACTCATAGTTATGGTAACTCATAGTTATGGTAACTCCTAGTTATGGTAACTCCTAGTTATAGTAACTCATAGTTATGGTAACTCCTAGCTATGGTAACTCATAGTTATGGTAACTCATAGTTATGTTAACTCCTAGTTATAGTAACTCATAGTTATGGTAACTCCTAGTTATGGTAACTCCTAGTTATAGTAACTCATAGTTATGGTAACTCCTAGTTATGGTAACTCCTAGTTATAGTAACTCATAGTTATGGTAACTCCTAGTTATGGTAACTCCGAGTTATGGTAACTCCTAGTTATGGTAACTCCGAGTTATGGTAACTCCTAATTATGGTAACTCCTAGTTATGGTAACTCCGAGTTATGGTAACTTCGAGTTATGGTAACTCAGAGTTATGGTAACTCAGAGTTATGGTAACTCCTAGTTATGGTAACTCCGAATTATGGTAACTCCGAGTTATGGTAACTCCTAGTTATGGTAACTCCTAGTTATGGTAACTCCGAGTTATGGTAACTCCGAGTTATGGTAACTTCGAGTTATGGTAACTCAGAGTTATGGTAACTCCGAGTTATGGTAACTCCTAGTTATGGTAACTCCGAGTTATGGTAACTCCGAGTTATGGTAACTCCGAGTTATGGTAACTCCGAGTTATGGTAACTCCGAGTTATGGTAACTCCGAGTTATGGTAACTCCGAGTTATGGTAACCCCTAGTTATGGTAACTCCGAGTTATGGTAACTCCTAGTTATGGTAACTCCGAGTTATGGTAACTCCGAGTTATGGTAACTCCGATTTATGGTAACTCCTAGTTATGGTAACTCCGCGTTATGGTAACTCCGAGTTATGGTAACTCCTAGTTATGGTAACTCCTAGTTATAGTAACTCAGTTATGGTAACTCCGAGTTATGGTAACTCCGAGTTATGGTAACTCCGAGTTATGGTAACTCCGAGTTATGGTAACTCCTAGTTATGGTAACTCCTAGTTATAGTAACTCAGTTATGGTAACTCCGAGTTATGGTAACTCCGAGTTATGGTAACTCCGAGTTATGGTAACCCCTAGTTATGGTAACTCCGAGTTATGGTAACTCCTAGTTATGGTAACTCCTAGTTATGGTAACTCCGAGTTATGGTAACTCCTAGTTATGGTAACTCCGAGTTATGGTAACTCCTAGTTATGGTAACTCCGAGTTATGGTAACTCCTAGTTATGGTAACTCCTAGTTATGGTAACTCCGAGTTATGGTAACTCCGAGTTATGGTAAACTCCGAGTTATGGTAACTCCGAGTTATGGTAACTCCTAGTTACGGTAACTTCTAGTTATGGTAACTCCGAGTTATGGTAACTCCTAGTTATGGTAACTCCGAGTTATGGTAACTCCTAGTTACGGTAACTTCTAGTTATGGTAACTCCGAGTTATGGTAACTCCTAGTTATGGTAACTCTGAGTTATGGTAACTACTAGTTATGGTAACTCCGAGTTATGGTATCTCCTAATTATGGTAACTCCTAGTTATGGTAACTCCGATTTATGGTAACTCCTAGTTATGGTAACCCCTAGTTATGGTAACCCCTAGTTATGGTAACCCCTAGTTATGGTAACTCCTAGTTATGGTAACTTGTAATTACGGTAACTCCTAGTTATAAATAGTAACTCCTAGTCGTAACCACATTTTCTGTAATGTTAGTGTATCAGAGAGAACGTAATATCTTGGTACACTACAGTATGGTTCGCGACGGCCACTCCTCACTATTATAAGATAAGATAAGATTTCGTTCGGATTTTTAACCCCGGAGGGTTAGCCACCCGGGATAACCCAAGAAAGTCAGTGCGTCATCGAGGACTGTCTAGCTTATTTCCATTGTGGTCCTTAATCTTGTCCCCCAGGATGCCACCCACACCAGTCGACTAACATCCAGGTACCTATTTGCTGCTAGGTGAACAGGACAACAGGTGTAAGGAAACGCGTGGAAATGTTTCCACCTGCCGGGAATCGAACCCGGGCCCTTCGAGTATGAAGCGAGAGGTTTAACCACCAGGCTACAGATGTTTTTATCCTATGTAGCTTGTTTCCTACATAACTGTGGAAAATATGTTATATATTAAATAATAAAATTGCCGATAATAGCGTATATATACTACATATACTTTATATATACTACTGGGTCGCTGTAAAGTAGTATATATATACTCAGAAGATTTTTAGGAGGAAAGCCGAATCCTTGATCGGACAAAATTTCTCATGATAGACCAGCCACTCTTCGTATTATGGGACGGGAATTAATGTTTCTCATAGGAAATGCTTCGGAATAGTGAGTCGTTGCAGCCCTTAAAGGCTGCCTTAAGGGCTGCTGGTTTCCCGACTTAGTTCTCACTAAAGGACCAACACAGTCTATCATAAGCCCTGAGAATGACTTACCGAAAGATGGAATAGGTCTTCACGGATGTGTAGGTGTACCTGTTCCATCTTTCAGTGGTGGTGAGAGTGCAGGGGAACTGATACCTGGCAGGTGTGACTTAAGGCACAGCCAGATCTGCACAATAGATGTAAATGGTCAAATAAATAATAAAATAAAAAAAAATAAGTCAGCACAGTGAACTGTCTCTTCTTAGTGTAATAAGAAAAATCAACAAATAAAATATGAGGGTTAGAACACATAAAATATAAAACACGGTACGGTGGGAACACTGGGGGTGTTTCCTTATACCTATTGTTCCTGTTCACCTAGTTGTACGTAGGTACCTGGGTGTTAGCCGACTGGTGTGGATCGCATCCTGGGAGACAAGATTAACCTAAGCTGCCGAAATCCTCAGCATAACCAGGGGTTTTGTACATAGTATGTCACTGATGCCAGTTATGGTTTGTATAAGTTGTATCACGTACTTGTAGAAATAAAGATTATTATTATTATTATTATTATTATTATTATTATTATTATTATTATTATTATTATTATTATTATTATTATTATTATTATTATTATTATTATTATTGCTATTATTATTGTTGTTATTTCTATTATAGCCCAAAATTAAAAAAAATGCATTGACACTTAAAATTAAAAATAAAAATCAGTGTACTTAGGATAGCGCATAATCTGACAAGATAAATGAACCAGCTCCCGACTGACTGTCAGCTGTATGACAGCACTAAGAAAGCTCCTGACTTACTGTCAGCTGCATGACAGTACTAAGAAAACTCCTGACTTACTGTCAGCTGAATGACAGTATTAAGAAAGCTCCCAACTGACTGTCAGCTGCATGACAGTACTAAGAAAGCTCCTGACTTACTGTCAGCTGCATGACAGCAATAAGAGAGAAAGATGGAGAGAGAGCACAAGCTCTCAAGACTGAAGAGATCAACGTAACTTTCTCTTCTCAACAAGAAATTTCAACTAAATGTTTATTAAGAAAAAACGCTTTAGCCTGAGCACGCGAATTAAAAAAAAAATCTATTGAACACACGTGAGTGAAGATGGGTAGCGGACTGACTCATTCTCAGGCAAAACAAGGTACTCATAGCGAGTGAAAATGGTCTCTTAAAATGAACACAATGTATGGAAGCAGCCTCCCTCTCTCCTTCACTGAAGAGCAAAGACTTCAGAATGAAGGATGAGTAACTATTTTGTGCTTATCAGAGATTTTGTTCCAACTATTCTAGATTGATTGTTTTATATTGTAGGTTATGAGTGCTCGCCTGGTGCTTCCCAGCAACTCGACGCAATCACAATATGAGAAGCATAAGGTGGCTACTTACATTATAGAGTTCCAGACCCAACCAGGTGAGTACTAGCTTAGTAGATGCTGCCTGGCTTCATGGATGCTAGTTTTCTAGGTGATAACTTCACGGGTGCTAGTTTTCTAGGTGATAACTTCACGAGTGCTAGTTTCCTAGGTAATAACTTCATGGGTGCTAGTTTCGTAGGTGAAAACTTCACGGGTGCTAGTTTCCTAGGTAATAACTTCATGGGTGCTAGTTTCCTAGGTAATAACTTCATGGGTGCTAGTTTCCTAGGTAATAACTTCATGGGTGCTAGTTTCCTAGGTGATAACTTCACGGGTGCTAGTTTCCTAGGTAATAACTTCATGGGTGCTAGTTTCCTAGGTAATAACTTCATGGGTGCTAGTTTCCTATGTAATAACTTCATGGGTGCTAGTTTCCTAGGTGATAACTTCATGGGTGCTAGTTTCCTAGGTGATAACTTCATGGGTGCTAGTTTCCTAGGTGATAACTTCATGGGTGCTAGTTTCCTAGGTGATAACTTCACGGGTGCTAGTTTCCTAGGTGAAAACTTCATGGGTCCTAGTTTCCTAGGTGATAACTTCATGGGTGCTAGTTTCCTAGGTGATAACTTCATGGGTGCTAGTTCCCTAGGTGATAACTTCATGGGTGCTAGTTTCCTAGGTGATAACTTCACGGGTGCTAGTTTCCTAAGTGATAACTTCATGGGTGCTAGTTTCCTAGGTGATAACTTCATGGGTGCTAGTTTCCTAAGTGATAACTTCATGGGTGCTAGTTTCCTAAGTGATGACTTCATGGGTGCTAGTTTCCTAGGTAATAACTTCACGTGTGCTAGCTTCCTAGGTAATAACTTCACGGGTGCTAGTTTCCTAGGTAATAACTTCATGGGTGCTAGTTTCCTAGGTAATAACTTCACGGGTGCTAGTTTCCTAGGAGATAACTTCATAGGTGCTAGTTTCCTAGGTGATAACTTCAAGGGTGCTAGTTTCCTAGGTAATAACTTCATGGGTCCTAGTTTCCTAGGTAATAACTTCATGGGTGCTAGTTTCCTGGGTGATAATAGGAAGATAATAATATAAGAAGAGGGCACTGGCTTCTCTCACAGCTGCATGACAGTGATGGAGGCCTACTTCCTCTCAGGGCACTGCCTGTCTCACAGCTGCATGACAGTGATGGAGGCCTACTTCCTCTCAGGGCACTGCCTGTCTCACAGCTGCATGACAGTGATGGAGGCCTACTTCCTCTCAGGGCACTGCCTGTCTCACAGCTGCATGACAGTGATGGAGGCCTACTTCCTCTCAGGGCACTGCCTGTCTCACAGCTGCATGACAGTGATGGAGGCCTACTTCCTCTCAGGGCACTGCTTCTCTCACAGCTGCATGACAGTGATGGAGGCCTACTTCCTCTCAGGGCACTGCCTGTCTCACAGCTGCATGACAGTGATGGAGGCCTACTTCCTCTCAGGCACTGCCTGTCTCACAGCTGCATGACAGTGATGGAGGCCTACTTCCTCTCAGGGCACTGCCTGTCTCACAGCTGCATGACAGTGATGGAGGCCTACTTCCTCTCAGGGCACTGCCTGTCTCACAGCTTCAAAGACAGTGATGGAGGCCTACTTTCCTCTCAGGGCACTGCTTCTCTACAGCTACATGACAGTGATGGAGGCCTACTTCCTCTCAGGGCACTGCCTCTCTCACAGCTGCATGACAGTGATGGAGGCCTACTTCCTCTCAGGGCACTGCTTCTCTCACAGCTGCATGACAGTGATGGTGGCCTACTTCCTCTCAGGGCACTGCTTCTCTCACAGCTGCATGACAGTGATGGGCCTACTTCTCTCAGGGCACTGCTTCTCTCACAGCTGCATGACAGTGAAGGGGGCCTACTTCCCCTCAGGGCACTGCTTCTCTCACAGCTGCCCTGACAGTGATGGAGGCCTACTTCCTCTCAGGCACTGCCTCTCTCACAGCTGCATGACAGTGATGGAGGGGCCCACTCCTCTCAGGGCACTGCCTCTCTCACAGCTGCATGACAGTGATGGGAAACCCACTTCCTCTCAGGGCACTGGTTTTTCTCACAGCTGCATGACAGTGATGGTGGCCTACTTCCTCTCAGGGCACTGCTTCTCTCACAGCTGCATGACAGTGATGGAGGCCTACTTCCTCTCAGGGCACTGCTTCTCTCACAGCTGCATGACAGTGATGGAGGCCTACTTCCTCTCAGGGCACTGCTTCTCTCACAGCTGCATGACAGTGATGGAGGCATACTTCCTCTCAGGGCACTGCCTCTCTCACAGCTGCATGGCAGTGATGGAGGCCTACTTCCTCTCAGGGCACTGCTTCTCTCACAGCTGCATGACAGTGATGGAGACCTACTTCCTCTCAGGGCACTGCCTCTCTCACAGCTGCATGACAGTGATGGAGGCCTACTTCCTCTCAGGGCACTGCCTCTCTCACAGCTGCATGGCAGTGATGGAGGCCTACTTCCTCTCAGGCACTGCTCTCTCACAGCTGATGACAGTGATGGAGGCCTACTTCCTCTCAGGGCACTGCTTCTTTTCACAGCTGCATGACAGTGTTTGAGACCTACTTCCTCTCGGCACTGCCTCTCTCACAGCTGCATGGCAGTGATGGAGGCCTACTTCCTCTCAGGGCACTGCTTCTTTTCACAGCTGCATGACATTTGATGGAGGCCTACTTCCTCTCAGGGCACTGCCTCTCTCACAGCTGCATGGCAGTGATGGAGGCCTACTTCCTCTCAGGGCACTGCTTCTCTCACAGCTGCATGACAGTGATGGAGGCCTACTTCCTCTCAGGGCACTGCCTCTCTCACAGCTGCATGGCAGTGATGGAGGCCTACTTCCTCTCAGGGCACTGCCTGTCTCACAGCTGCATGACAGTGATGGAGGCCTACTTCCTCTCAGGGCACTGCTTGTCTCACAGCTGCATGACAGTGATGGAGGCCTATTTTCCTCTCAGGGCACTGCCTCTCTCACAGCTGCATGACAGTGATGGAGGCCTACTTCCTCTCAGGGCACTGCCTCTCTCACAGCTGCATGACAGTGATGGAGGCCTACTTCCTCTCAGGGCACTGCCTCTCTCACAGCTGCATGACAGTGATGGAGACCTACTTCCTCTCATGGCACTGCCTCTCTCACAGCTGCATGACAGTGATGGAGGCTACTTCTCTCAGGGCACTGTTTTTCTCACACTGCATGACAGTGATGGAGGTCCTACTTCCTCTCAGGGCACTGCTTTCTTCACAGCTGCGTGACAGTGATGGAGGCCTATTTCCCTTTCTAAGGGCACTGCCTCTCTCACAGCTGCATGACAGTGATGGAGACCTACTTCCTCTCAGGGCACTGCTTCTCTCACAGCTGCATGACAGTGATGGAGGCCTACTTCCTCTCAGGGCACTGCTTCTCTCACAGCTGCATGACAGTGATGGAGGCCTACTTCCTCTCAGGGCACTGCTTCTCTCACAGCTGCGTGACAGTGATGGAGGCCTACTTCCTCTCATAGCACTGCCTCTCTCACAGCTGCATGACAGTGATGGAGGCCTACTTCCTCTCATAGCACTGCCTCTCTCACAGCTGCATGACAGTGATGGAGACCTACTTCCTCTCATAGCACTGCCTCTCTCACAGCTGCATGACAGTGATGGAGACCTACTTCCTCTCATAGCACTGCCTCTCTCACAGCTGCATGACAGTGATGGAGGCCTACTTCCTCTCAGGGCACTGCTTCTCTCACAGCTGCATGACAGTGATGGAGACCTACTTCCTCTCAGGGCACTGCTTCTCTCACAGCTGCATGACAGTGATGGAGGCCTACTTCCTCTCAGGGCACTGCTTCTCTCACAGCTGCATGACAGTGATGGAGACCTATTTTCCTCTCAGGGCACTGCTTCTCTCACAGCTGCATGACAGTGATGGAGGCCTACTTCCTCTCAGGGCACTGCTTCTCTCACAGCTGCATGACAGTGATGGAGGCCTACTTCCTCTCAGGGCACTGCTTCTCTCACAGCTGCATGACAGTGATGGAGACCTACTTCCTCTCAGGGCACTGCTTCTCTCACAGCTGCATGACAGTGATGGAGACCTACTTCCTCTCAGGGCACTGCTTCTCTCACAGCTGCATGACAGTGATGGAGGCCTACTTCCTCTCAGGGCACTGCTTCTCTCACAGCTGCATGACAGTGATGGAGACCTACTTCCTCTCAGGGCACTGCTTCTCTCACAGCTGCATGACAGTGATGGAGACACTACTTCCTCTCAGGGCACTGCTCTCTCACAGCTGCATGACAGTGATGGAGGCCTACTTCCTCTCAGGGCACTGCTTCTCTCACAGCTGCATGAACAGTGAGGGAGGCCTACTTCCTCTCAGGGCACTGCTTCTCTCACAGCTGCATGACAGTGATGGAGGCCTATTTTCCTCTCAGGACACTGCTCTCTCACAGCTGCATGACAGTGATGGAGGCCTACTTCCTCTCAGGACACTGCCTCTCTCACAGCTGCATAACAGTGATGGAGGCCTACTTCCTCTCAGGACACTGCCTCTCTCACAGCTGCATGACAGTGATGGAGGCCTACTTCCTCTCAGGGCACTGCTTCTCTCACAGCTGCATGACAGTGATGGAGGCCTACTTCCTCTCAGGGCACTGCCTCTCTCACAGCTGCATGACAGTGATGGAGGCCTACTTCCTCTCAGGACACTGCCTCTCTCACAGCTGCATGACAGTGATGAAGGCCTACTTCCTCTCAGGGCACTGCTTCTCTCACAGCTGCATGACAGTGATGGAGCCTACTTCCTCTCAGGACACTGCCTCTCTCACAGCTGCATGACAGTGATGAAGGCCTACTTCCTCTCAGGACACTGCCTCTCTCACAGCTGCATGACAGTGATGAAGGCCTACTTCCTCTCAGGGCACTGCTTCTCTCACAGCTGCATGACAGTGATGGAGGCCTACTTCCTCTCAGGACACTGCCTCTCTCACAGCTGCATGACAGTGATGAAGGCCTACTTCCTCTCAGGGCACTGCCTCTCTCACAGCTGCATGACAGTGATGGAGGCCTACTTACTCTCAGGACACTGCCTCTCTCACAGCTGCATGACAGTGATGGAGGCCTACTTCCTCTCAGGGCACTGCCTCTCTCACAGCTGCATGACAGTGATGGAGGCCTACTTCCTCTCAGGGCACTGCCTCTCTCACAGCTGCATGACAGTGATGGAGGCCTACTTCCTCTCAGGACACTGCTTCTCTCACAGCTGCATGACAGTGATGGAGGCCTACTTCCTCTCAGGGCACTGCCTCTCTCACAGCTGCATGGCAGTGATGGAGGCCTACTTCCTCTCAGGGCACTGCCTCTCTCACAGCTGCATGGCAGTGATGGAGGCCTACTTCCTCTCATAACACAGTCATGTTTACCAAAATTCCTGATATACGCTTTTCTGTGAAATATTTGTACTATAAATTCTAGGTATTAACTTGGTTCGTGACAGTGCTAGCTTCTTGGCAGAACGCTTTTTGGGCGCTTGTTTTTTCCTGGTGCTTGCTTAGAGGGTGCTTTATTTCTGGGTGCTTGTCTGTTGTTTGCTTGCTTCACTGGTCCTTGCTTCGTGGGTACTTGCTTCAAGGGTGTAGCTTCATGTCTGCTTGGTTTAGATATGCTTGCTTCTTGTGGTCTTGTTCATGTTCTTGCTTCATTTGTTCTTGCTTCATGTGTTCTTGCTTCATGTGTTCTTGTTTCATGTGTTCTTGTTTCATGTGTTCTTGCCTCATTTCTACTTGCTTCATGTGTACTTTCCGTGTACACGTAATCGATCTGAGTCACGTAAATAACTTGCGCTACCTCCAACACTCAGTGGTACTGATTTCTGCGCAGTAGTTAACACGCAGCAGTTTTTGACCACAGATGGCGCTGTGCCCTCACACATTCTGTTTAAAAAACTTAATAAAAATTACTTACCAAAATAAAGGAACTCTCTGGCCACTGTGTGCCCTCCTAGAACTAGGAATAAAATGAATACTTCCCCATTTACTGGTGTACATACAATGCAATCTGCAATAATAGGGATACACACATCTTAAATAATCTCTTCAGAGCAAAGACATAATTCTTCTCCAATCCTACAGACAATTAGCCTAACATAATCTAACTTAACGGAACCTAGCCTAACCAACTTATCCAAACTCAAACTTACCAAATCTAACTTAAATTAGCATAATATTAGTTTTTGCCATATAATTTAACCAATTATAATCAACTAAAATTATTCTAATGCATTCTAACCTACTCTAACCAAACCTAACTAAATTATAACCTAAACTAATATTTAAACAAGGATAACTCCATATTCTATAACTTCTATAACCAAATTTCTGTAAACTCAGCATTGTAATCCTTATAGAGAATAAACTTTGAATCATTGTTACTCCAGGTGGAGCCCTGCTGGAGGCCATGGTGAGGAAGAACCAGCAGAACTTCACAGTAGTAGGAGAACCACTGAGGACCAACAAACATAGCACTCAAAGCCACTGCCTCAAACACAAGTTTAAGAAATACTGCTACTGTAAAGATCTTCTCCAACCATAAGACACCAATTATCTTCAATCGAAATATCTCAAACAGTATTAATGTTTGTCACTTTGATGAAGTCTCTCCGACAGCACAAAACTATGCAACTCACTCCACACAAAACAACATAGATATATTCTCTCTACATACGAGATCAGTTATATTATCCAGACATACAATTAACTTCTTCAACCACAATAATTGCAATCAGTGGAGCCTTTGTAAATTCATCTTTTCTAGTCAAAAATCAAACAAAACTAGTCCAGGTTAAAAGAGTTTAGCTCCTTTCTACAAATATTTTAATATAGTTAACGAAAGATTAGCAGATTTGTACAGTCATAACTACACTTGCTGCCTCTGTATGTGACTGAAGAAGTCTACCGTGTAGGCGATACCCTTCAACAATAAAGCTATCCAACCAATGCACATGTGTCTTAATCATCAGTAATCTACTTGCAAACATACTGTATTTATCTGTGTTTTAAATTTTAAAATTATTTATGGGTAAGGGAATTGAGTGTTAAGGATCTACCATAGATCCCAAATAATTTAGGTACGTCCTTCCTTAAGGGAGAAGTTTACTACTGTCGTTGAGGGACTGATTACCTCATCTTCTGTATATAGTTCTACTGTCTTCAAGTTATGTCCTAGAATTTGTATTGATAAAGCCACTGGATGGCGAAATGTCTACAATAAAGATACCCAGATGTTGCACATGTGTCTTAATTTCACTACTGTCGTTGTTTTGCCGACGCAGCAAGCTTGTTGGCTCAGATACAGAGGCAGCAAGTGTAGTAGTGAAATGAAGATGACAAAACCGGTCCATCAACCATGGGGATATAAGGTAGTCAGTCCCTCAACCTGGAGAAGAGTTCAACTTCGTGGCGTGGAACGATATATATATTACATATATATATGACATATATACTGCATATATATACTCTGAGAGAGATACTCCCCTCAGGGATATTTATTCTGTGCCAATTATTATGTTACGGGCACATAAAAATTACATAATGCGCATTTAACCTACGATTTGTTGGGATTTTTAGCCCAGAGGGTTAGCCCCTCCCCCCTCGATAACCCAAGAAAGTCAGTGCGTCATCGTGGACTGTCTGTCATATTTCCATTGTGGTCCTTCAGTCTCGTCCTGCAGGATGCCACCCACACCAGTCGACAACACCCAGGTACCTACTTACTGCTTGATGAACAGGTGTAAGATGACTAACACCCAGGTACGTACTTACTGCCTGGTGAACAGGTGTAAGATGACTGACTAACACCCAAGTACCTACTTACTGCTTGGTGAACAGGTGTAAAATGACTAACACCCAGGAACCTACTCACTGCAAGGTTAACAGGGACAGCAGATATAAGGTGACTAACACCCAGGCACCTACTTACTGCTAGGATAACAGAGACTGCAGACGTAAGGTGACAAACACCTAGGGACCTACTTACTGCTAGATGAACAGGAACAACAGGCATAAGGAAACATACCCAACATTTCCACCACTGCCGGAGAATGAACCACGGACAGCAGAGTGTGAGGCGAAAGAGTTACCAACCGAGCCACGGCACTTCCCACTTTTCCTGACGTGGAAATAGTGAACCACAATGCTGAAAGTTGGTAATTAAGAAAGTCTGTTGGGTAAATCCAGGAGCTGTGTTGTTATAACAAGATAAAAGTTATCCGCTATTTATATTCTCCACATTAATCATCTGTCTTACGACAAGCCCAAAGTAGACTGCTAGTCAGGATGACTAGGAATAAATTGGTTATAATAATAACCACCTAGGACTTCCACTGGTAAGCCAGTGGAAGGTCTCGATCAGATGGCTAAAAGCTCCAACTGTGGATCATCATCTAACTAAGATCAGCGTCAGGAAACACTTGTCCTGTTTCCTGACAAATTTTACCTAATCTAACGTCAGGATGACTAAAGAATCATAAAGAACAACAAAAAAGTGAGTTGACAGTGGTGATATTCACTCAGGCAATGGTGAAGAATATGGTCAGGTAACATGATATATGCCAGAGGAAATAATTCACTTCCTCCAGGAAATGACCCGGACCGGGACAGTACCGCCGAACCTACTGCTGCTACTACTCACTACTAAAACTTTTTCGAGTTATCCTGGTGGGCAATTTAACCATATGAGGCCAGCAGTAACAGCCTAGTTGATCAGACCCTGATCCACCACGAGGCCTGGTCTCAGACCGAGCCGCGGGGGCGTTGACCCCTCGAAACCCTCTCCAGGTATACTTAATAATTCGCAAAAAGGAGAAATTACGTATGAACATTATCTCTCAGTTCACAGCAGGATTCAAACCTACAAACTCAGCATCAGAGTACACAGTACTTTATGTACAAGTGTGTACTCTGATGCCAAGTTTGCAGATTCGAAATCTGCTGCGGACTGACAGACACGTTACTGTGTATCACAATTGTAATTATCTAAATTTGTATAACTGTATTCACGTGTACTTGTACCTAAAGAAACTTGTAAAGTTACTTAGTCTGATTTTGTCTTACTTTATTATGTATGATAATTGTTTACCTGTGCCTAAATCTCACTTTCAAAGATCACAACAGTGCCACGATCACAACTGCGAGGAAAATGACAGGGTGGATAATGAGAACATTTAAAACAAGAGATGCCAAGCCAATGATGATCCTTTTTAAATCACTCGTTCTCTCTTGGCTGGAATACTGCTGTTCATTAACATCTCCGTTCAAAACAGGTGAAATAACATATCTAGAGAATGTACAGAGAACCTTTACTGCACATATAAGTTCCATCAAACACCTTAACTACTGGTAACACTTGGAAGCACTTGACTTGCACTCACTGGAGCGCAGGCGAGAGAGATATATCATAATCCACACTTGGAAAATCCTAGAGGGACTGGTCCCTAATCTTCACACAGAAATCACTCCCTACGAAAGTAAAAGACTGGGCAGGCGGTGCAAAATACCCCCAGTGAAAAGTAGGGGCGCCAGTGGCCCCCCGGACACTAAGTGTCCGGGGGCCAAGACTGTTCAACAGCGTCCCACCATGCATAAGGCAATTACCAATAGATCCCTAGTTGCCTTCAAGAGGAAGCTGGACAAATATTTAAAGTCGGTGCCGGATCAGCCAGGCTGTGGTTCGCATGTTGGGCTGCGTGCGGCCAATTGCGTGCAGAATGTGCTAATACTGTAATTAATTAATAATATCTTTATTTACTACACGTACATGTACAAGGCACACAGACCATGGATAACATATTACTATATAGAAAACCCCTTGTTACCCAGAGCATTTCCAGCAAATTAAGTCAATTTTCTCTCCAGGATGCGACCCACACCAGTCGATTAACACCCAGGTACCCATTTTACTGATGGGAAACATAGACAACCCGTGTAAAGAAACACGCCCAATGTTTCTATCCTCGCCGGAAATCGAACCTGGACGCTCACCGTGTGTAGCAAGAGCTTTAGCCACCAGGCCACGGGACACCGTCACACATAGATCAGCTTTTCGCGACTATCAAGAAACTTCAACCGTGTAGAGTTCGTTTTCTCCTCCTCCGTCATTATATAATTGCAAATGCAACAGTTGAAATTATCCCTGATATCCATCGCAACACTACTCCCCTTCCTGTTGATTCTGACAATGTGGAACAATTTATTCCTTTCTATATGTCATTCAGTCGGCGTGTCCCTATCTTTTTACAATGAACAATCTCCTGGTTATCGTCATTATATCTATGTTTCTTGTACATGCAATTATATGTCCTTTATATTCCTTATTCCTCGACTATTGGTACAGTAAACGTTTAAGAGAGTTAATCGCTCTCCTTCTCTCTCTCTCTCTCTCTCTCTCTCTCTCTCTCTCTCTCTCTCTCTCTCTCTCTCTCTCTCTCTCTCTCTCTCTCTCTCTCTCTCTCTCTCTCTCTCTTCGTGGAGAAATTCCTTTGTTTTGTCGGTACCTATTTCATGAGCTATCACGTTTTCTATAATATTTTGAGGGTTTTTCCTCCTTTCCTGTTACTACACACTCTTATATCTCTACTTTCTAACAGTTTTAAGTTCAGATAAGTAAGTCATATGAGCAACAGTTAGGTAACTTTATTCTGAAACGTTTCGGAATGAAGATACCTAACTGTTGCACAAGTGTCTTACTTATGGCCCGTGGCCACCAGGCCACGGGCTTCGATTCCTGGCCAGGGTAGAAACACTGGACGTGTTTTCTTACACCGGTTATCCAATTCACCCATCAATAAAATGGGTACCTGGGTATTAGTGGACTGGTGTGGGTCGCATCCTGGGACAAAACTGACCTAATTTGCTCGAAATGTTCAGCATAACACGCGGCTATCTACATAATAGTATGTCATTGATGTCAACTATGGTCTGTATACCTTGTACATGTACTTGCAGAAATAAAGATATATTTTTATAATTTGTCGGTATTGTATATACCATTAATCACATTCAGATCTAATCTCGGCAGTGAATCCTTTGACTGCACTGGATAATGCTGTCACTGCTGGCCTAAGATCTCCAACTCATCCCTTGTGTACATATCTGTCATGGAAGGGAATTTCAAGTATTTTACAGTTCTTGTCTAGCCCCAGCTACCCATTTTACTGCCCTTTCATTTTCCTCTCCGGATCCCTACTTTCGACCTAATCAAATCTAGAGCTGTCCTGTACTTGGTAATGTATAAGTAAAGTGGTTCCCGGTATCATTTCCGCCAGCAGTGAGGAAAGATAATGGGGATGACCAGATTATCTGGCATGATACTATCTAACCTGCTGACTGTATGTCACCAACAGCAGCTCCGGCAAAACACGATGGTGTGCTGTTCTGTCTTTAATTTGGCTACAATATTTGTATCCAACATCAAAGAAGATTACTGTATTTACATAATCCAATCCCTAGGTTTAGTAACGCAGGATAAAGCGGAAACTAAACGTGCAGTGAAGGTTATTTGGGATATAGTCCTCAGGTTCTTCCAAGGGTGAGAAATTAGAATTCTCTACTATCACCTAGGTACCTGTTTAAGAATGGTATACAATACCAATCTGGGAACGTACAGATTACAGCACCCAAATGTTGCACATATGTCTAATTCTTCATCTAGGTACCTATCTACTGCTGAGTGAATAAGGGTAGCAGGATTTACAAGACTTACCTAGACGTTTAGGTCCTTCCTGGACTGAGCCGTCGTTCCTACCTTTGTGAAAACAAAAGTAACAGCATACAGTGCAGGGCAGTGCAGTAGAATTTCGAAGTTTCCCACAAGTTTCGTTGGTGACCCATTCATTTGATGGTGAAGGAAACAGTCCTTAACCTCATTGACAGAGAAGTACTTTCATTATGTACAGTGTGACGTAACAAACACACAATGAAACTGGAATGGTAATAATAATAATAATAATAATAATAATAATAATAATAATAATAATAATAATAATAATTATTATTATTATTATTATTATTATTATTATTATATATTATTATTATTATTATTATTTATTCTGTACGTTACTGTAACACACTCAGCTCACTGAATGTGTACGTTACTGTAACACAGTCGGCTCAGTGACTGTACGTTACTGTAACACACTAGGCTGAGTGATGTTATATAAGTTACTACAAGACTCGTCTCAGTTCTTTCATGATAACCTTTAAGATAAAACGAAAACAATCAATAAATTAGCTGGATAACGCAGTAATAAAGTATCTTCTAGCTGGTTGCTGCAGCAACTAAATATCTTTCAGCTGGTTATTACAGCAGCAGAGTACCTTTCAGCTGTTTAATTCAGAAACAATTCAAGCAGGGTGCAGCTGAAGCAGGCTGGTGAAGTGTAACAGGCTGCCGTGACAACACAGTAAACACCGTGACGAAGGTTTCCTCTCAGGTCCTGTAGATAACCATCTCGTCTCAGTCATTACGTTATATAGCACTTACACGCTATGTCCTCTTTATTACGTAACAACACCTCTCCTCTTCTTCTTCCTCTCTCTTAACAGCGCCAGAGTTGCTGTTCTAACCCCCCAGGACGACTGTTACTCTTGTTATGGTGACTGTTGGTCTTGTTACCGTGACTGTTGCTGTTTCGTTGTAGCGACACTAGTGCTAATATGCTTGTGGCAACACCGCCAAGTGTCGTAATGATCTAAAATGGTAATCGTTTTATCTTATTTGAAACATCCGGCCTAAAGGCGACACAAAGTATGGTCTTATTTATTACTGAGAGAGACAGAGTGTACGAGAGACAGTTTAAGCTTAACTAACTTGTATTGGCGAGACAGAGTGAGATAAACTGAATGTTAGTTTCACTAGCATGTTGTGGTAAACAGAAAATTATTTACACTTCTAAGCGTCCACGAATACAAGATATAATAGAATAATAGGGAGGAGTGTAGTACGAGGGTGAGAGACGCTGTTTAAGTGGGAATAATGTATAGAAGTGAGAGTTAAACTTGTGTTTCTTGTTAGCAAAATCATTGTAATACCCGATCAGTTGGGCTGTGGTTCGTGCGTTGGACTACGTGCTGCCAGCAGTAACAGACTGGTTGATCAGGCTCTGATAAACCGGAAAGCTTGATCAAGGATTGGGCCGAGGGGGCGTTGACCCCTGAAATACCCTCCAGGTAGGTCCACCACATCGAGGAGGTACGCTGGTTTCTGTAATAATTCACAAGGTTTAAGCGATAATTATGTTAACATTGTTCTCTCGGCACCAAGTGTCCAAACAACCTTACGTCGTCCCATATAGGAATAAATTTGGCCACAAGGGCATTTTCAGTAAATCAGTCCTTTTTCAGTCTTTTCTCAGTTGTTGTTTGAGGTATATTTTTGATAAATATTTTCAAAAAAGAGTGAAAAAACTTTGTCTTGTGCACCAAAACTGGAGGAAATCGGACGGTAAACAAAAGAGCTACAATTTTTTGACCGACGGCCCCCCTTAACACTCCGATCACACTGAATGACTGTCTAGTTACACCCCGTCACAAGCATAGGCTTTTCTCTCTCATAATTCTTCACGTATAAGGATGTTCCTTCTCGTATTCCATCAGAAAAGAATAATTTTATCTCTTGTACTCTGTCACGCAGGATGATTTTTCTCCTAATCCATCACAGGATACTTCTCGTATCCTCAGGCAGGATGAGAGAGGCTGAAGAAGGTGACCTCTTACGTTATCAGCAGAGTAGCTGAGAGTTGCCGTAGTGATACTCTCCTTCATCTGAAATGTGTAAATTTGTGTGTGTGTGTGTGTGTGTGTGTGTGTGTGTGTGTGTGTGTGTGTGTGTGTGTGTGTGTGTATTTGCGTAGCACTCCAGCTACGTCAACATAGCTACCCCGTCACCCACGGGAAGAGTAGTAAACTCAGTGACTACAGACAGTGTACCCAGAGTGAGGTAGTCCAGCGCGTACTTCCCAGCACCTCCCCAACAACACAACTCATCCAGCAGAGAACAACGGGTCAGGATTAGTTAAGCACCTACTGATTTTACTCCCATACACTACTGGTTTATTAACCTATGTTTTGACTTTAAAAATAATAGTAATAATAATAATAATAATAATAATAATAATAATAATAATAATAATAATAATAATAATAATAATAATAATAATAATAATAATAATAATAATAATCTTGTATTTATCTCTCAGTCTCTCTCATATAGTCACATAAGAAGATTATGATATTTAGTTTATGTGAACATTGGCAGTTTATAAGCTCAGGTGAGACAACTGAGGTGTTCTATGGATCACCGTAATGTTCCTTCACACAATATCAGCTTTAGGCCTAAAGTTGACCTTTCAACATGTACAGCGATTTATATCGCATACTACGATATTTGCGTATATTTCATTCTGATGTAAGTCATGACATGACTGAGAGACGAAAGTTGTGTCGTGGTTGTTACCCTAGATGGAAGCATCAACCTACATATAAGTTCGAGAGTAAGACTCATGTACAACACATGGTGAATTGTCATTGGAGAAACCTTCCTCCTACCCAGCAGTCTTCATCAGTTTCTCAACGTAAAGAAGAGGCGTGAGGCCAAAGACATACTGGACGGAAGTGAGGTGTAGCAGAGTGAGGAAGAGCTCACTTATAACTAGGTACCACTAAAGGAAGCAGGTCTCATTATTGGAAGTACGTCCCACTAGTAGAAGCAGGTCTTACTAGTGAAAGCAGGTCCCACTAGTGGAAGCAGGTCGCACTATTGGAAGCAGATCCCATTAGTGGGAGCAGGAGCCACTAGTGTAAGCAGGTGCCACTCGTTTAAGCAGGTGCCACTATTGTAAGCAGGTCCTACTAGTGTAAGCAGGTCCCACTAGTGTAAGCAGGTCCCACTAGTGTAAGCAGGTCCCACTAGTGTAAGCAGGTCCCACTAGTGTAAGCAAGTCCCACTAGTGTAAGCAGGCCCCACTAGTGTAAGCAGGTCCCACTAGTGTAAGCAGGCCCCACTAGTGTAAGCAGGTCCCACTAGTGTAAGCAGGTCCCACTAGTGTAAGCAGGTCCCACTAGTGTAAGCAGGTCCCACTAGTGTAAGCAGGTCCCACTAGTGTAAGCAGGTCCCACTAGTGTAAGCAGGCCCCACTAGTGTAAGCATGTCCCACTAGTGTAAGCAGGTCCTACTAGTGTAAGCATGTCCTACTAGTGTAAGCAGGTCCCACTAGTGGAAGCAGGTCCCACTAGTGTAAGCATGTCCCACTAGTGTAAGCAGGCCCCACTAGTGTAAGCAGGTCCCACTAGTGTAAGCAGGTCCCACTAGTGGAAGCAGGTCCCACTAGTGGAAGCAGGTGCCACTAGTGTAAGCAGATCTTACTAGTGTAAGCAGGTCCCACTAGTCACTAGTGCAAGTAGTCTCAGTAGTAGTAACCAGTTACCAGTAACCAGTGTACCGTTGACTCAACGACCAACCGTCTCTGCCTGAGTCACTATCTGAATTCATATTGTGCTGACCTCAGCAGTATCAAAGGCCCCCTCACATAGGGTACTGTGGGCGGCTAGTCAGTGTTACGAGTGTGAGCAAGGAGGCAAGGTAACGGCTGGCAGGGCTCTCTCCACATATCTGCAATTATACGTAATAACAGCCTACGTGAGTATTTCTTACCTAATCCACGTGTCGAACTCCCACATGATAGTAGATCACGTTAAACAATTGTTTGCAATAGAGTTGTTGAGGACATTCCTTGCATCAAGACACCCGTTATTATATGTAACTTGAGAAAATTAAGATATGTGCAACATCTGGGTATCTTTATTGTAGACGTTTCGCCATCCAGTGACTTTATCAATACAAATTCAAGGACATGAATGGAAGCCAGAACTATATACAAAAGATGAGGTAATCAGTCCCTCAGCCTTGGAGTTGGTGTGAAGAGCTCTGTAGTCGTGAAGATTCTGGAGCACAGACAAGAAGGCTGGCGCTTATATACTGGCAACAGGTGGAAAGGGACGGGTAGCAGACGAGGGCATATTCACTGGTAGGCGGGATACCCCAGTGAAAGGTCGGTTATACGCAAGGGATGGGTTAGTGGTAGTAGTAGTTGTAGCAGCAGCCGTGAAGAAGGTTATGTAGATGTCCTCTGAACCAAGATTCCATGATGCTGCAGTGTCTGACAAACTGTGCTTGCCTGATACGGTGATACAACAGTTTCTTGGTATATGGAATGTCTTACATAATTTTATTGCTAACAATTGCTTTGATTTACCTACTTTCACTAGTGGAGTCTGCTTATATGAGACATCATCTCGAAGTTGCTGCACCTTACTTCCTTCCCGTATAAAAGTCTCTGGTCTAATATTAAGTTTTACTTTAGGCTAAGCTAAGGAACTGAGCTCCCCAAACTACCTGCCCACTTCTACTGACTCCAAGAGTGTAGTTATCTTCGTATCTCTAGATTGATGACGTGTTTCGCCTGCTGAGCAGACGAAACATTTCGTCAATAAAGATGTTTAGGTGCTGCACATGTGTCTTACTCATCAGCTTATCGGTATTAATACCTTTTTAATATAACACCTATATACAGCTGGTACTTACTATGATGCGTACATGCAGCTGGTACTTAACATGACACGTACATGCAGCTGATACTTAACATGACACGTACATGCAGTTGGTACTTAATGACTGATTCTTGTATCGTGTTTGTATCAATACTTTCACAGTTACAATTTCAATGCACACGCTGTCATATTAATTTAACACTGCTCTAAAAGGTGTATGCTTTAAAAATAGACAGTTGTCTGCATACTAAATTATGTAATGAAATTCACATAGGTTCCTTAGGGGGTTATTCTAGTTGTATGGTGCATATCCAGATGCGCTTGTCTATTTTAGATAAGTTACCACAGTCATATATGACATTTTCAACGTCAACAATGCCATAGAAGAATTGTTAGCAAAGTTATTAAGGAGTAAGTTGATGTAACTATGTGTTAACTTCCCCAGGCGTCTACCAGTCCTGCCGCACCTGAGATGATCTCCCCGTCTCACCACCACCGACTCAGTGTTTACAGTATGTTTTACTTTTCACAGTTCAGTTTACAAGCTGAGAGCTGTATCCTACCTCACCTAATTTCCATTCCCAGACTTTCTCATGTATAATAACACACCCCAACCCTCCCTTCCCATAATGCTTCTACGTTAGATAAAGAATTACTGAGAGTTTTCTGGGTAAAAGATGGACTCAAATAACGAAATGTAAATAATATATGTGCAGTCCTGGGATATTTACAGAGATGTTACACTCCGGGAAATTTTATTGACCGTTGGATCGACAAAGTTCCCTGGGACAAAATGTCACAATAAATAAATCAATAGGGCACCTATCTCATTTACTTGAGAGTTTGTTGGTGTGTCTGCCAGAGTGACTTGGGAAGCTGCGTCTCTGTTGTGAACTCCTGAGCAACGAGCAAATGTTAACATCACCTTTGTATTACTTTAATAACTGGATGTATTTTGGTCCTTGTGCGATCCGAGAAAGGTATCCCCGTATCTTATAACCTCAGCCCCCTCTGCCTCAATGCACGCGAGTGGAATAGTGCAGAGTGTGACATAAGCTGACAGTGCAGTTAATTCTTAGCATCGAAGATTTGAAGGAAATTTAAAGAAGTATTCACAGTCATCAAAAGGAAATTAATACCCAAATTTCATCAAGGTATCCCTTCGGGGATGCATAAGAACATAAAGAAGGAACACTGCAGCAGCCCTACTGGTTTATGCGAAGCAGGTCCAAGTCTCCTACTGGCTTAAGCCAATGCCCTAACCTAGTCAGGTCAGTCACATCCACTTAAGGAAGGAGCACGGCATCTGGCCTAATAGCACAAGCTAGTCAGATCCAACTCACACCCACCCGCACTCACTCATGTATTTATCTAACCTATTTTTAAAACTACGCAACATTTTAGCCTCTATATCTGTACTTGGGTGTTTGCTGCACTCATTCACAACTCTATTACCAAACCAGTGCTTTCCTGAATCTGAATTTTTCCAACTTAAAGCCATTGTTGAGAGTCATATCTAAGCTAGATATTTTTAGTGTGTTATTTACATCCCTTTTATTTATTCCTGTTTTCCACTTATACACCTCAATCATATCCCCCCTAATTCTACGCCTTTCTAGAGAGTGCAGATTCAGGGCCCTTAGTCTATCCTCATAGGGAAGGTTTCTGATACATGGGATCAACTTTGTCATCCTCCTTTGTATTATTTTCCAGAGCATTTATATCCATTCTGTAATACGGTGACCAAAACTGTGCAGCATAATCTAGATGAGGCCTAACCAAAGATGTATAGAGTTGAAGAACAACCTGAGGACTCCTATTATTTATGCTTCTTGATATGAAGCCAAGGATTCTGTTAGCTTTATTACGAACACTTATGTACTGTTGTCTTGGTTTTAGATTACTGCTAACCAGAACTCCCAAATCCTCTTCGCAATCAGTAATATTAAGATCTACATTAGTTATACCTAAATATGTGATACCTAATTATTTTTTATCAACACATCGGCCGTTTCCCACTGATCAGGATGACCCAAGAAAGAAGAAACACTTTCAGCATCACTCACTCCATCACTGTCTTACAAAAGTGCAACATTAATACCCCTCCTTCAGAGCGCAGGCACTACACACTTCCATGACTCAAGTCCGGCTAACCAGTTTCCTTGACTCTCTTCATAAACGTTACCTAATTATACGGTACCTATTTATGTGGCACCTAATTATGCGGTACCTAATTATATAAAACCTAATTATGTTACGTTAAAAAATGTGCTGTGCCTAATTATGTGGCACTTAATTACGTGAAACATGTTAATGCACGGTGCCTAATTATGTGGAAACTAATGATACATTAAGCATATACGGAACCTAATTATGTGGAGCTTAAGTGTCATGTCAAAAATATGTTGTACCTAATTATGTAGTACCTAATTATATAACTTCTATTTTTACAGTGTTCCTAATTATGTGGTAACTAATTATGTGGTGCCTAATTATATGGTGCCTATTTATGCGAAAATAACAGGAGTTTCTTGGACTTGGTATTGGCAGATAAAAGACTGTTGGGAAGACTTAAGGATGTACATGTTTATAGAGGGGCTACAGATAGATCACTTTTTAGCTGTAGCTACAGTGAGAGTAAAAGGTAGATGGAATACAAGGAAACTGGAAGCAGCAAGTAAGAGAGAAGTGAAGGTTTATAAACTAAAGGAGGAGGCAGTTAGGGTAAGATATAAACAACTGTTGGAAGACAGATGGGCTAGTGAGAGTATAGGCAATGGAGTAGAAGATGAATGGGTTAAGTTTAAAAATGTAGTGTTAAGAATGTTCAGCAGAAATTTGTGGTTACAGGAAAGTGGATGCGGGAGGGAAGAAGAGCTACTGGTGTAATGATGATGTAAAGAGAGTAGTAAGAGAGAAAAAGTTAGCATATGAGAAGTTTTTG